ATTTGTCTAAAGCTGAAACTCAGGCTTTAACTAATTATGGAAGTGGAGAAGATGAGAATGAGGATGAAGAAATGGAAGAATTTGAAGAGGGACCTGTAGACGTCCAGACTTCACTTCAGGCTAACACTGAAACTACAGAAGAAAATGAACATGACAATCAGGTATCCATTGTGGACCAACATATCTTCCACCAGTCTTTATTTTAACTATTGAAAGCAGATCCTCTGAGAAATGTTAAAATTTCCGTCTCCCCCATTTCATTTTCATGAGTACAAATCTTATCAATACGCTTATTAAAATCTGAAACACAAGTTCATTTTTATGTTCATTAATAGTTCAAAGGATTTCTACTCATACATGGAAATAGTATGTAACAAAAATAAAATTATTACATTTCTTACCTTCACCTTATCTTGTCTGCTTCACAGGCAACCCTTTATACAGTTTTTTCTGTTTACTTACGTTTCTGTTTACAAATGTGTATGTGCCTTTGGACTAAATCTGTATTTAGCCAGATATTTAGATTTTTAACCAAACTGTAAATATTGTTGGCTGCTAAACCAAGTACATATTGTTTATTATCTAGCCTTATTTTTCTCTTAAAATTAATCATTGTCTCTTTTTTTATCTACGTAATTGTCCTTGAACATATACCCAGGTCTTGTTATAGCCTCTAAAAGCTGACTGTTCTTTAGACTTGCTAAACAGCTGTTAGCCTGGGAATCCCCTTGTCATTTTTCTTTGTGTTCCTGGAATCTCCTTTGTGTCTTGTCTTTCATGGTTTCTTGTCTTAACTTTAGTGGAGCACATCTTCCAGTAATTCACTAAGAAAGAGTGCAAAAACAGATTTTGAGACTTTCTGAGAAAATCTTAGTACTTCTGTGTCAAAAATATTTTCCTCAGATCTTTGAATTCACAGTATCTTCATCTTGTTTCTGGTAATGCTGTTAAGGAGTCAGATGCCTTTCTTAGTTCTCATCCTTCCTTAGTCACAGTTGTGCTTTCTAGTTTCATTTACTTGCAGGCAATTGCAGTCTGAAAATATTAAATGGAAAATTCCAGAAATAAAAAATTTAGCAAATTTAAATTGAGTGCCATTTGGAATAGCATGATGAAATTTTCAGCCAACCCACTCTGTCCTGCCTGAGATACAACTCATCCCATTGTCCAGCTTGTTTGTACTAGATACCCTACCCACCAGGAACCACTTCATAGCTGTTGAGGTCAACAGGTCAGTTTTCACAGAATCACAGTAATAATGGCCACAGAGTGCAAGAGGAGTGATGCTGGCATATTGTTAAAATTGCTCTATTTTATTATTAGTTGTTGTTGTTTATCTTTTACTGTACCTAATTTAATAAGTTAAACTTTTGCATAGGTGCGTATGTATAGGGAGGAACACGTGTGTAGAGTTTGGTATTATCCATGGTTTCAGGCTCACTGGTGAACTTAGAACGTATCTCCTGTGGATAAGAGGGGACTGTGGTCCGTCTTATTTTTCCTTCCTGCTCTAGGAGTTTTTACCCCCTCTAGTGATAGACATCGTTGGGGTCTTTTTCTCATTCTCTGTAGTGGGTTCTCAGTAGTTTTTAAAAATCTGTACTGTGTCCTTCAGTTTGGCACATTTTCATTGTTTCTTCCTCACCATTTCTCTATTTCCTGGAATTAATATTGTCAGACATTATCAGCCCTTATGCATTGGGGCAACTTTCTCCTTCCTTCATTTTATTGTTCTTCGCCTTATCTGTTTGTTTTACTTTTTGGGAGACTTTTGTGACCTTAACGCCTATATGAATTATTTTTTAATTTAGCTCTTATATTTTGAATTTCTTTTTTTAAATATATTTTTAATTTCTAAACTTTTTAAAAAATTTTTCTCATTTTTATAGTGCCCTATTATTTTATGGAAGCAGTTACCTTCTTTTATCTATCTAGATCAGTGGGGTGAGCAGTGGCTGGGCAGTGGAAGTTCCACCTGTGTTTACAGCTGCTCCCATTGCTCACGTCACCTCCTGAGCTCTGCCTCCTGTCAGATCAGTGCCAACATTAGAGTCTCATAGGGGCGCAAACCCTACTCTAAACTGCACAATGTGAGGGATCTAGGTTGTGAACTCCTGATGAGAACCTAGTGCCTGAGGATCTGAGGTAAATGTAATATGCTTAAATTATCCCCAAACCATCCTCTCCACTCTACCCCAACCTCAATCCCATCCGTGGAAAAATTGTATTCCATGAAACCAGTCCTTGGTTCTAAAAATGTTAGGGACTGCTGATGTAGAGGCTTTCTTCAAATGTCTGTGGAATTTGGTGGTTTATATGGTAAAGAATGATATATCAAAGAGTTGGGTTTCTTGGGCTTCACTTCATTTGGGGAGAGAGAGTCAGCATTTTCACAGAAATTGCCAAATGTTAGTATCTATTTATCTTTCCTTTGGGGTGGTTTAGTTTCTCCAGAGAAGGATCATCCAGGTGTCTCCTGCCTGGTGTATATAAGCTTGGCTTCTGATACTCTAGAATTAGATATGAGAATGGGGTGAGATCCCACCATTATACAGGGTTGCACTAAATCTTCTTTTATATGACACTTCATTCATGCTTTCTATACCCCATCCCCTGGTCCTAGTGGCCCCCAGTTCTGAGGCTCCCTAATTCAATTCTCAAAACTATAATCTCCCACTTTCAATTGAAGTTCGAGCAGGGAACCTAGATATCCACATTTTTCCTAAATAGTTTTAAACAACTACTAACACACCCTTTTATCACCAGCCCTTGCCCTACCACCATCCTCTTTCCTTTCTTGATCTAGTACTGCCAATTATGAGGTGAATCACAGTTTTTGTTCCATTCCCTTGCTGAAGGCATTTAGTTCTTTAGTTTTATTTCTTCTCCTCTTGCTTAGTTCCTTTCTCATTCACTTAATGTCTACATATATATGAGTGTCTTTTAGTTTCATTTAAGATAGTCTGAAAAAGACTGTATTACCCAGTTTTCCATATTGTTTTGAGGTTAAGAAAAAAAGGAAATGTTTTTATTTACTCATCTTGAAATTGCCACCAAAGCCACCTTCTTGAAACGCTTTTAAAAGATACTTTTAAATTCTCCTGGAACTGGGCATGGTGTTTCATGCCTACAATCCCAGCATTTTGGGAGGCCAAAGAGGGAGGATCATTTGAAGCCAGGAGTCCAAGACGTGCCTAGTGAGATCTTGTCTCTACCAAAAGAAAAAAATTTTTCCTTATATGAAAGTCTCTGGTTTTACAGAGGTCTCACACACTAGTAACTGTCTCTTTATAAAACAACCACATATTTTAGACCCTGATATTAAAAAATCTTTTTACTTCTAGGTTCTACAACATGACTTTGAAAAAACAGCAGAAAGCAAAAATGTCCCATTGGAACAAGAACTCACTAGTAAAGGTAAATTTAAATAAGGGTTTAATTTTAAGATTATTTAAAGTGCTCTTTAGGGCGGTGCCTGTGGCTCAAAGGGGTAGGGCACCGGCCCCATATGCCGGAGGTGGTGGGTTCAAGCCTAGCCCCAGCTAAAAACTGCAAAAAAAAAAAAAGAAAAAGAAAAAGAAAAGTGTTCTTTATGTGCTTAAATCTAAATTCTTAATGTAGGCTTAAAGGCACTTTGCACCTGATGTATATTTTTCTTCTCTCTGTAAATCTTTTGTAGATAACATAAGAAGGGTTTGTTTCTGCAAATAGCAGTTAAAGAAAAGTTGACAAATATTTAACTGCATAGAAAAATTCTATAAGGTGCATTGTTAGATACAAATGTGGGGAATTTTAAAAAAAAATACCCATTTGTGGGTTTTATACCTAAAAATCCTAATTTATTAGAAATTGGGTAGATTTTAGGAATTTAATTTTTAAAACACCCCCAGAGGATGCTAATAAACTAAATTTGGGAATCACTGATAAGGAAAATGTGGGTACCTTTTCTTTTTGGTCTGAAATGTCTTGATGACTCTCATTCATGCATATTGTATTTAGAATAATAGAGAGTAAAATTTAACATCTGTTGTATTACATTAATATTAAGAATTTCTTTTAATGACAGATGACCAAGATAGCTCTCCTGTGAAGCCCTGTTACCTCAATATCTTGGAAAATGAGCAGCCTTTAAATAGCACTACCCACAAGGACTCACTCATTACAGTTGATGCATCTAAACAGCCTAACCCTTTGCCATTACCTTTAACTGAAATTGAAACCTTAGTGCCTAGAGTCAAAGAAGTTAAATCTGCACAGGAAACTCCTGAAAGTTCTCTGGCTGGAAGTCCTGATACTGAATCTCCAGTGTTAGTGAATGACTATGTAAGTATCTTGGTTTAGTAGATCAATCAGTTAGAGTTCCATGTATTTCTGCTTTTCATTTCTGGGTGTATTTCTCCATTTTCAGGTTAATATTTTCAGACTCCATTTCGTGTTTAGATTTAGAACCTGTTGGAACATTTTTATTTTTTATTCACACTTTAAACTTGAGCAGAAGGGTGGTAGTGAGTTAAGATCACCATCTCAAAACCTACAAGCTGTTCTACTTTTTATAGTTTAGAGACCCAAAGAGATGAGTTATAGGTAGCAAGTTTGAGAGAGTTCAGTTTCAGATCTGAAATGATAATGATAACTTGAATCATCATTTATCTTTTACACTACCCATTTTGACTTCCTCACTAAGTCTTTGATAATAAACCTGAAGGTTTACCTTTAGAATGTGAAATTAAAAAATTTGAGAGAGGCTTGGCGCCTGTGGCTCAAGCGGCTAAGGTGCCAGCCACATACACCTAAGGTGGCGGGTTCAAATCCCCAGCCCGGGCCCACCAAACAACAATGATGGCTGCAACCAAAAAATGGCCAGGCGTTGTGGCGGGTGCCTGTAGTCCCAGCTACTTGGGAGGCTGAGGCAGGAGACTCGCTTGAGCCCAGGAGTTGGAGGTTGCTGTGAGCGTGATGCCATGGCACTCTACCCAGGGGGATAGCTTGAGGCTCCGTCTCAAAAAAAAAAAAAAAAATTTGAGAGCAATAGAGTCTTTTCTTGGTATGCCGTAAATAACAAAAAAATATGCTAGGAAATCTGCACTATTGTGGTGTTGTTAGATGAAAATTAAAAATGAAGTCTTGCTCTTGCTCAGGCTGGCATTGAAGTTCTGAACTCAGGGGTTCCTCCCACTTCCATCTCCCGGAGCGCTAGGATTATAGGCTTGAGCCACCACACCTGGCCAGATTATCATTTGATCAGTGTATAGAGAGTTCTTATAGAAGACATTCAGTTGAAATTAACTAACTTGGAGTTAGATTATAGAAGCTCTTGAATTTGATTTTTGTTTTTCTTTGAGACAGAGTCTTGCTTTGTCACCTAGGCTAGAGGCTAGAGGGCCATGGCCTCAGCATAGCTAACAGCAACCTCAAACTCCTGGGCTCAAGCAGTCCTCTGTGTCAGCCTCCTGAGTAGCTGGAACTACAGGTGCATGGCGTCACACCTGGCAAAATCTTGCTTTACTTAAGGCTGGTCTCAAACTTCGGACTTCAGGCAGTCCTCTTGCCTCAGCCTCCCAGAGTGCTAGGATTAGTCATGACCCACTGTGCCTGGCCTTGAATTTGAATTTTAGGCAAGGATCCTTACTGAAGGCTTTTGTGTAACCAAGTGAAATGATGGTCACAGTTATGGCCTATGGAGATAAATCTGATGACTCTGTGAGATACATGGTCAAGGAAGCTATGTTAAGAGGCTCTACTATTACATAGGTATGAAACATGAGCTTTTGAACGAGAGTAGGGTGGGTGAGAAATATTGTAAGAAAAAAGAAAAACCCAGTGTTTCTTCTTGAGTAATTGGTAGAATGATGGTATCATTAAAAATGAGAAAAGAGAAGTAGAAGAAGAAAATTCAAGTTTAAGAAATAGTTTGAGGTGTTCACAAAAGGCAGTTACTAAATTCATGTCTCAGATTTTTAATTGTGCTTCATCAGAGTTGACATACATTGAAACATTTGTAAATGCTTAGGTTCCCCTTGATACATCTCTGAGGCATTCTAGAATTTAGCCCTCAGTGTAACTACTACTACTTCTTCCTTTAGCGTGTGTTCACTGGGTGGTCTTTGTTAAAATGAGAACAAAAAAACTTGACAGTGTGCTCACAGCTTTGATGGGTAGCCCATTCTTTGAACTTTATATTTCTGAATTATTTATGGACAGAATTTCTATTGTATAGTTATACTGTATATAAGAATCCACTTTATGTCTTGGTGTGGGTGACTTTGGTTTAGATCCAGAGATATACAGTGCATGTTTTTCATTAAATATAATTTATCTTATAGGAAGCAGAATCTGGTAACATAAGTCAAAAGTCTGATGAAGAAGATTTTGTAAAACTTGAAGATTTACCACTTAAACTGACAATATATTCAGAGGTACTTGGCCCTCTTTAATTAAACTTGTCTTTATGTAACAAATGTTGTTAAATTGAAAAATGATTTATATTTTTAATTTTCACTCCAAAGGCAGATCTAAGGAAGAAAATGGTAGAGGAAGAACAGAAAAACCATTTGTCTGGTGAAATATGTGAAATGCAGACTGAAGAATTAGCTGGAAATTCTCAGACACTAAAAGAACCTGGTAAGAATTATCAATTTTAATCTTATGAGGAAAAATTACTCAATTTTAATACTACCATTTTGTTTTATTTTTAAGCTGTGCTACTAGTACCTGAGAAATTTAAACCAAATATTGGAAAGCATGATTTTGTAAAAATATTTTACTTTATTTTTTATGTTTTTTTATTTTATTTTATTTTATTTTTTGAAGACAATGCCTCACTTAGTCTCACTTAGACACCCTGGGTAGAGTGCCGTGGCGTCATAGCTCACAGCAGTCTCAAATTCTTGGCCTTAAGTCATTCTCTTACCTCAGCCTTCCAAATAGCCAGGATTACAGGTGCCCACCACAACGCTCAGCTATTTTTTAGAGATGAGATCTTGCTCTTGCTCAGGCTGGTTTTGAACTTCTGAGCAATCCACCCGCCTCAGCCTCCCGGAGTGTTAGGATTATAGGCAAGAGCCACTGCACCTGGTGATTCTGTAAAACTTTTAGTTCAGCTGATTAGTTTATTAAATAGTATTGTCAGATACTTTTTTTCTAATTTTAAACTTGTTTGGTTTTAGCAGAATAATATATACATGCACGTGGTTTAAGAAAGAAAGGTACAAAAAATTGATGATGGTTAAAATCTTTTTTAAATTATTGATTTTTTAATCCTTTTGGAGGAGACCTCTAAATGTTGCTGGGTTTTTTTCTTTCTGTTTTTTTTTTGAGACAGAGTCTCAAGCTGTCGCCCTTGGTAGAGTGCATGGAGTCACAGCTCACCTTAGCCACTTGAGCTACAGGCACCGAGCCTGTGATTTTTTTTCTTAATGTTTTAAATTCAGGTAATTTTTCTCTATTGTGACAAGTATGTATTTAGTCCTACCTATCCTTCTCCTTTCAATATTTGTATTATTTTTGGTTTTTCTATTTTTTGCCTTTGTTATTTTAAATATATACATTTTTCTAGTTTCACCAACTTTGGTCATTGTCCCTCTACTTCTCCTCCTTCCTTCCCTTCCTTCCACCTTCTCTGCTCACATGTACCCATATTCTTAGATTATTAGGGTTATTAAAGAAATAGCTTTTAAAGTAACATTTATTTTTGAAACTATAATAATTAAATCTTCTGTACTTTTTGTGTGGATGACTCTATATGAATGTCCCTTGTTGTAGAGCCCAGCGATAGTCCCATATTTCCTTCTTTTTCAGTACAGTAGCACAACCCCCCTGGCCACTCTGAATGTTGCTTGCATCAAGACCCTAAGGGGTTTTTTGTTTTTTGCCATCAGTTCATCAATTGATTAAAATCATATATGATACTTTGTTTTTGTTTTTCTTGGGAATAGGGTGAGGAGAAAGAGAGACCATTCAGATATCCAACCTTCAGTTAATCCCCAGCTTCCAGCCGTTTCTGCCTGTTAGAACATGGCACCCAGTTAAACGCGACCTCTCGCAGAGCTCCTGGGCTGTGGCTTCCTCTGCTTGCCTTTAACAGCCTCTCTGTACTTGGAGCATTCTGGTGATGTGTTGGGGTTACATGTTTTCTGTTTTCTCAAAATACTTTTCTTGGACTAGGTTTATTCCGTTTGACAGTCCTTTTTTCCCCCTCTATTGTTTTTTTTTTTTTTTTTTTGAGACAGAGCCTCAAGCTGTCCCCCTGGGTAGAGTGCTCTGGCATTACAGCTCACAGCAACCTCCAACTCCTGGGCTCAAGCGAGTCTTCTGCCTCGGCCTCCCAAGTAGCTGGGACCACAGGCGCCCGCCACAACGCCCGGCTATTTTTTGGTTGCAGCCGTCATTGTTGTTTGGCGGGTCTGGGCTGGGGATTCGAACCCGCCACCTTAGGTGTACGTGGCTGGCGCCTTAGCCGGTTGAGCTATAGGTGCCGAGCCTCTATTGGGGTTTTTTACAGAGATAGGAAATAACTGCTCAGTCTGTTGAAACAAACTTTCACTTGTTCTTTTTTGCTGTGTGCTATCAGGGATTGTTTTAGCAAGCTAAATTAAGATACCCTTTAAAATAACTTAGATTAAAAAATAAAAGCTTTAATAGAAGAAAACAATGGTAAATTCTAATAATTCAGTAATTGATAAGACATTAATTACTATTCTGTTTTTCAGAAACAGTGGGAGCCCAAACTGTGTGAGGTGTCTTCAGCAGCTCATCTAACTCTCTCTTTCCAGTCAATGCGTATTTGAAAATGATACTAAATAAACATCTGTTTTGATCTGTATAAAAATGTAAATTAATTTGACACTGCATTTTTGATAAGTGTGCTAATTTTTGTCCATAGTAGTTTAAAACATCAGAAACTGAATTCTGGACAGATTTAAGCCTTGATACACTGTGTAATTTTTTTTTTTTCCTTTTTTGGTCTTGATTTTTTCCCCATTGTGATGTTTGGTACAGTTATATTTAAAATGTAGTTTTAAATAAAGTTTGGACTTATCTATAAATTAACTTTTTTGGAAATTATGTTGAGTTCTATACAGCAAGTCAGTGTTCTATATAATTTTAGGCTATTCAGAGAAGAGCAATGATTAAGAGTTGGAGAACAATATTATTTATTATAAAGCCCATCCATTAGACAAGCCTTCCAAATAATGCCGGTGTTGCTGCTATGGAGTCTAAAGTTCTTTTAGAAACCTCCAAATTCTGTTACTTTGAATAGGGCAGGTTATAAGCATATCCAAGATACCTGTGATACCTGTGTTATTATAGAATATATAGCCATTCAGATTGGATAATAAGTTTAGAATATATGTCCTTCATAACCTAAAACTTACATCATTATCTATTAGAAAAATATTTTCAGGAATTCCAAATCCTCTATACATTGCCTCAGTCTAAAGATTAGAAAGAATATGTAATTAGGGAGTGTTTCTGCACAAACGAGTAATATGTGACAATTTTAAATGAAAAACTAAACTCAAGTAGGGATAAATACAACTGGAAAAAAAAAAGTTTATGTAACAGAACAGTTGAATCCCTATATACCTTTAGACAAACTTGCCTTTTGAGGTGGTAATTTAAGACCAAAGCACAGCAGTTTGCTTTTGAGTTTAGTGAGGGCAAAGCAGGTTCATGAATGAAGTATTGACTAAAAAAATTTATGTGAGTTTTTCATCATCGTAAGTAAATCAGCTTTCAAAAGATGATTTACCTTTTTATCCCAAACTTTCCGTATTACTCAGTAAGGCTTCAAAGAGCCAGTTAACAGTGAATAAGTCAACCTTAGAGTCTTCCTTGAAGAAAATATAAAGAGTTTTAGTACCAAGTAGTATCAAATTTGTTTAACACTTGACTGAAATACTCCAAAAAGAAAAAATAAAAGAACTTGGTAGATATTTTTTTAAATTCTTATTTGCTTGATACCTTAATGTAAAACTATAATGTCAAATCAAGGAGTATTAAATGAGGATTTCCCTAGGAGGACATTCACTGAATTACTACTTAATGTAAATTATGTAAGACATATGTCACCAACTATAATAAAACCTATTCAGAAAACTACCAATTAAGAATCAGGGTTTCTTATCCAGTTGGCCTAACTTCAGGGAAGTTGGAGCAATAAAGTATATTATATGAATATTCAAATTCTATATTTTCTAGGCTTTAAGCAGGAAGGGGGAAAAAGCTTCATTTTGGTGTATTCAGGCCAAGCCTTACGTAGTGCAGCGGTGCGTGCATGTGCGCGCTCTCTCTCTGCATGCATGGTAAAGATAGACACAGTGGAAGAATTGTATTTATATCTTAGTTATGAATAATACCTATGAAAATTATTAAAATTGCTTATTTGTGTTACAGCTGCTGTTATCTAGTCTTACTATTTTTCTGTTTTAGTAGATAGTATAGTTTTAGCCATAGGTCTTAAGAGCAGATATTTGTTTAATATGTTTTCCATAGTAACTATTGCTAAAGGGTTAGGCATTAAATATTCTTGTTTGTCTTAATTTTTAAGTTAAAATTTTGGTTAGAGACAGAGGGAGAAATGGTCCAAATGAATGAGAGAGAAGCCTGTGCAGGTCGAGGTAATGCTACAGTACGACTGTGGAGGTGTCCTTTGTATTTTGTAACATTCACTTTGGGCAAATGCTTTTTTCACTGTTAATAAATGTATATCCTGTCTACAGTTCTGAATTGTATTCTCATTTAAATTAACATATTCACTTACGCTTTAGAATTTGTTCCAGAACCATGGCTTGGCCGTTTTAAATGTAAAAAATCAGGACATGCTATATGACTAATCACAAAGATTGATTCGGCTTGAGACCATTTTTCTTATAGTGAACATATGCTCTATGATTTCTTAGTTACATTTATTTATATACTGTTTTAAGAATGTAAATGTTGGAAATGGTATGATAAAATTTGGTGTGGCCACAGGAAGAAATGAGAACTAGACTTAGAAGGAAGAAGTTTATTATACTCACAGGTTCTGGAGAGGAGGTCACCACATGCCCCATAGGCTCCCAGAGGAAAGCACCACATTAGGTGGGTGGCAGAAAACAAGAGCAGAGGGAAAGCCTCGCCAGAGCCTTTATTGAAGTTTCAGAGTGGCTAATTTGAATAATTCTGGTGGGCTTTGGGCTATAGGGATAGTCTATGATTGCCTGGTACCTTGCCCTGGACTGATTTAGGGCAGAGGAATACTGTTGTGTGTGTGAGGGTTAGATAAGGAGGTAGTTGGGGCTGTATGCTCCCCCGTGAGGAGGTTTGGGATCGATTGGTTTATACGAAAGAACTGTTCCTGGATGAATTAAACCCTGGGGAAGCCCTGGGAGGGGTGGTTCCTCACTAGCAAGAAACAAGTCAGTCTACTTTTGAGTAAATATATGAATATTCTCTATATTGTATTATCCATGCTTTTTATTTTCTGTATTTTATGATTTGATATCTTAAAAAGCTTGCTGGTTAATCCTGAAGCAGTCCTACCCCCTTGGCTTCCCAAAAGTACTGGGATTATAGGCGTGAGCCATCTTACCTGGCTGTGTGTGTGAATAGCTGAGTTGAAAAAAAGAAATGGGTAGTCTATCAATTATATAATTTAAAAAAAACAATAAACTGTTTTCCTAAGCAAACATCTAAAATTTTAAAAATCCATCATATTAGCTCATAGCATATTGAGAACTTTAAGGAAATGACAGAAAAATATTTTCGATACTGTTAGATTTATTTTGGCCATGGTAGATTTTCCATGTGGAGAATGACTGAAAATAGAAATTTTTGTCTGATCTGTGAAACAGTAATATTCAGTATATATTAGTATGATTATTTTAGATTCTCATATTCTTTGGCTTAGAAAAAGCCAAACATCAAAGGGTTGTCAACTTTTTCCAGTTCATTAGCAGCCCTAAAAATTTGCAGATAACAGAGATCTGCCTCAGTGCCTCAGTTTCTTGACATTTTAAATAAAGGAAAATGAAGTTGCAGAGACAGTGACCAGAACAAGCCTTTAAATGCACCTTATACGGCACCATCACTCACTGGCAATGAGTATTATAATCTAAAGACACACACACCCGCACAGCTGTATGTATATATGTATATATATATGACCCTTAAAGACAAAAGTGAAAATTTCTATCATTCCTCTTACCTAGCAACTGTAAATTAATAATTAGAAACAAATGTAATTAAACTCAAATACTGAAACCTGATTTTCTATCCTAAGTCAACTTAACTCTCCTGATACTGACAGAGCCAATCACTGGATGTTAGGCTTATGTCCTGTTTGTTTCTCAGTAACTAAGATAACTAGTGTTTTTCTTATTCCAGTTAGTAATGTGGGAAACAAACTGGTACCGGCATCGCGTTATTTCTCATTGGTTATTTTTTCCTGGACAGTGTGATTTCACTCACCCACACATGCACCTTGGGCGTGTTGACTTGTTAGTACTGTCTCTTACCATAATATTTTGAAGTAATGCTATCAGCTCAGTCTCATTATTTGTTATCTACCTGAGGGAAGAGCTGAAATTGTGTAGCCCGCTGGCCTGTGATAGAGCCTAACTTGAATCTGTTGTTTTTCTGAGGTTCGAATAGGGTTGGCATTGAAATCATGTATATGGTATTATGTGTTTTCAATTTTTTTCATTTGATACTTTCAATACATTTTAAAAAATTCATTTATATTCACAATTTTATATTAATACATTATATTTGAACATATTCACAGGGACTGTGGGCAGTCTTACTCAACTTCATGTCATTTGTTTGCAATTCTCCCAACCTTGTAAGCTCCTGCCTAATGTTAGCAAATTGAGTGTGTGTGTTTGTGAGATACACACACACATATCATAGAACACTGTGTTAAAAGTCTGGTATATATTATTGCACATTTTCTTTCCTTTCTTTTTTTTTTTTGCAGTTTTTGGCTGGAGCTGGGTTTAAACCTGCTGCCGCTGGCATACGAGGCCAACGCCATACTCCTTTGAGCCACAGGCGCCATCCAATGTTATTGCACATTTTCATTCACGTTTATACACATGTACAAATATAAAACTATCTGGATGTGTGTATTCCTATATGTATAACATCCTAGATACATTCCTACATAACTAATTCTGGTTCCTGTGTTTTCAAAAGTAAACATTGTCAATCTGTGTGTATAAATTATATATTACATATATTTATGGAAAATATGGAAAAGAATGTGATTTGCAGGTGACAGGCCACTTAGGGGGCACCTTCGCTGGCTTCCCGTGACTGGTCAGTGTGTATGTGCTTTGGCAGTGAGGGAGCATCACCATGTGAAATACTAGCTATGAAACTTTTGATTGGGTTCACCCATGTTATATGTATGAAGAACAAAAACCTTAGCGCAGTCCTGATGTGTCTGATCACACTTGGGTGTTGCCCATTACTGAGTTCCCTGCTGACCGCTGAGGAAACATTAGAGAAAACCAGGAGGACTAAGGCCTCATTTTCCAGAGGCCGATGTGAAGGCACAGGGAAGTCATGGGACTTACCCCTGGTGCACTTGGCTGGATGTGGGACTCAGAGCTCTGATGCTTTCCTACCTGTCTGCATACCATGGCCTATATAAATAAGGACAGGTATTGTAAGGCATGCTGAGGTAAACTGGGGTGGATGTGAGGATGTGGCGTAAATTCCACGTTTTCTCTATATTTAATAATTGTATGAAATGGATAAATTACAAAAGACAAGGTATCAGGAAAAATTATACATCAAATATTTTAAACTAAAGGGTTTTCTTAACATTTGTATAGCATATTTTCTATTTGAAATTGCTATACACAATTCCTGATTGAGACCTTACCATCTCTGTTAAGTATTTGAAAATCATGAATGATCAATTTTGTATGCTCAATTGGGTGATGAATTTCAAGAAATACTTTGTAACCAAGAATTTGTAGAAGTTGAAATTACATTTGAAAATTAGTGGCTCTTTTTCTTCCATTGAAAAATGTAATATTAAAATACCTTGGGGAAAAGTTTTGAATACAATCAAAATTTGCATATTAAGTAAGACCAAAATGATGGTGCCTTATTTTGCAGAAAGCACATGGCATTGTAATAGTCATGGGCAGCTAGCTTGGATGCCTCCAAATTGATGCCTCCTGTCAGCTCCGAATCAACAAAGGAATCAGATGTGTGTGAGGTTTGGGCTGCTGCTGAATTCATCAGGAACCCACCCTGCCTCCTTGTCTCCCACATAAATGCATGTAGATTTGGTATTTGAGATAGGCAAAACCTGCTGGACTCAGGTCACTTCTGGTCCACAAGGCCAATGATTTCTACCAACTTGCTCCATGCCCTGCCTGGTGAGACCACAGGGAGATGCAGTCTACCCTACTCTGCTCAAGCCTGGCCTCTAAGGAGTTCTCACTAGAGGCTGTGCAAGGCAGTTAGCCTGAGGGCTTGCATGCCTGGGACCTGCCTAGGTGACCCAGGGCTGAGGGATCAGTATCTCAAGGTACACCGTCCAAAACTGGTGAAGGGTGAATTTACCCTGCTTGCAAGCTTATGAGCTAGTGCCAGTTTCACAGGCTCTGGCAGATTCCTGGGTCAGAGGCAAGGACTGCAGGCACATTAGGTAGCATGAGCTTCAGGTTGATATCAGTCCTACTTGCCCACAAAGTGCCCCAAAGAGGTACTGTGGGATAGCCCAGATGGTTGCTGCACACATTGTATGATCTTTATCACAGCTGAGGCACCCCAGGCTTATGAAACTCCTCCAGTTATAAGAGGGGCTGTTTTGCAAAACAGGCCTGCCCAACCTTTGCCCTGTAGTGAGACAATCTTGTCAGCAAACAGGCCTAGACAAGCATCTATGAATAGTCTGGGACAACAGCAGCCATGAGATGTGTATAAATTGGGAGAATGTCCACAGAGAACTGCCCAGCACATACCTGTATCAGCCACGTGGTGCCTGATTAGGAAGCCCTGCTTTCCTAAGATAAGAGGGAAGGAATCCCCTAGGAAAAAAGAAAGGACTGATGTCACGGAAGCTGACAAATCACAGATTGCTGTCACCAGTTTGGTCTCACTAAGGTTGAGGAGCCCAACCTCACCTCCCCAGGCTTGTGGTTAGGCCAATGCTCAGCTCAGTATAATAAGGAGCCTGCCAGCCATGCTGTCATACATAATGCTAAGCTAGTTGAATATTTTATAAATTTATACCAATACATAAAAACTATCCATTATACTCTGTGGGACAAACTTCAGTGACTTTAAAAAATTTTAGAACTGTCCATATTTTTAATGTAGTTATGGAATATAGCCACAAAAAGATGAAGGATCTATAACTGACTTCTCACAAACTGAGCAAGATTTAGACTTAAAGTAGTAAAAAACAAGTGACCTCTTAGATTAATACACAAGTTTCTAACCCCAAAGGGTTTCCAATCCTATGGAAACGTAAATGATTTACAGAGACCTAGTAGAAGGAAATGCCAGGTGACATTCAGACTAGGCACAGTGGCCTGGTACACTCAAGTGTGAGTCTCATATGACAGAAATGTTTCTCAGTCCTACTTGTAAAGAAGTTGGGTAGATACCAAGAGTGCAAGAGTTGGACAGAACTAACTCTAATCCTAACTCTAACCCCCTTCTTTAAGAATGACCTTGAGCATGTTAAATTAACCTTACCTTCATCCTTGCAGTGGAATTACAATTATAAATGAGAAGATTAAATAAGATAATGCATGGTAAGCATAGCAATAGCACTTGCTACTCTTGAAGGGGAACCCAGTCAACGTTTCGGTTAACATTCTCCCAGTCATCTGTTTATAGATGTTACATTTGTTTATGCATAAGTACACGTATAAAATGTGATATATTGTATATCCTATTTTAGAAAATGCTTTCCCAGCTGAAAAATACTACCTAAAATTTTAATACCTGTTTTCTCCAAATTCTTGGATTTACTCCTGAAGAATCAGTCTGAAACAATTAGCATCTCACCTCCTTATTATCAGCATATCAAAGTTTACTACATTTTAAAAAATATATCTAGTTTACTACATTTTAAAAAATATATCTAATAAAATATACCTCACTTCATTTTTATAAGAGGTACAAAATCTACAGTTAAGTTTTTTTCATTAATTGAACCCTGTTATAACACAAATCCTTTTTATGGAAGTGCCTATCTGAGGGGAAAGGTGCCTTTGGAAACCTGCAAACTGGGTTAAGAGGTGGTAAGGATTCATTATGTAAGATTGTGACCATTTAGTCATACGTTTATTAATAACTCACTTACATAACCTTTGCTATTTAATCCAGGCACTATGTTCAGCTTGCATTTCTCAATAGGAAGCCCCCACCCTCAGGCCGACACGCACACGCCCAGGCAGCATGCATGACTGCTGACTGACACTGTTTCCATCAGCTGTTTATTGAGTGTCATGATCACAACTGACATTACAACCAATTATACAAAATAAAGTGGACACAGTCTTGGACAAAGGCCATACATTTCACAGTTAATGATGAAAGTTAGAAAGGTTAACACAAGTTCTGTTAGCACTTTTCATAAATAGATTTGATTTGTGTAAAACATTAATAACTACTCTGAAAGTTAAAAAAAAAACCCATGTTGATCAAAAGTATAAACTAAAAATTTACTAAAGGAATGATACTTAAGACAACTTCAAATAAATGAGCTCACCTCTTATCTTCCAGTCTTTGACATGTATTTTTACTAATTTACAGAACCTGGGACTCAGTATTTTTTTTTTTTTTTTTTGCAGTTTTTGGCCGGGGCCGGATTTGAACCCACCACCTCTGGCATATGGGGCCAGCTCCCGACTCCTTTGAGCCACAGGTGGCACCGAGGACTCAGTTTTTATAGTTAGCGATTTCCTGTGGTTACTGAGAGGTAGTGAAATCATGAAAAAAGGAACACTTCATTTCTTTGTATAAAAGCCTGCCTTGCATACTGATCACTTCATGAACCCCCAAAAGTATTATTTTTATAGAGTCAAAGGTCCATTTATTGCCCATTAAAAGTAATATAAATGGAATGTCTGTCTCATCCCCCTCTACAGTTGCATGTAGTGAAATTACATTGCCACTAACAGCAAAGATAACAATGGTAGACTGATTTTAACAGAAGTCAGAGCCAGAAGGAAAAGACGGCCATATGGGAAACATACAGATACGGAGGTAAAAATGAAAACCTGAATCGTATAGACTATTGACTTTTACACTGACACAGATTAAACACCCACACAGAATCTCAATTACATGGAGGTGAATCCCACGATGGTTTAATTGCCCATCCCCATCCCCAAATGTCGAAGTGAAATGAAACTCATCAAATTATAGATGATTGTCTTATTTCACTTAAAGACGTTATCTGTAAATAAGAAAAATCAACTGTTAATGGCAAAAATACTGTGTATTGCAAACATACAGAGAAAGACCAGCTTGTGACAGTGAGAACCTGTCCTGAGGCTTAGTCTTTGGAAGATTAGACAGCAGCACGGGCCGGCCACGTGTGAGGTCCTGTCTTCAGGCCTCTGAGGTGCGTTCTGTGGGTCAGATGTGTGCTCACCAGCCTATGCAAGGGTCTGGGCAGTCCCGCAGGTAAGTTTCATACTGCCCTCTGGTAACATCGATCAAGGTTGTGAATGCAGTCAGCTGGAAGAAAATTATTTTCACTTTAAGGACATTTTCAATTCCAAGATGGCCTGGCTTATAGAATGTGCTTTATGAAGTTATTTATTTAACATTAAATAATAAATACTGATATATTGCAATGCATTATGTAGTTAATATCTTTAAATTTATATAGTACGTTAAGGTATTTATATAAGGTATTAAATAATTAGCGCCACCTAATTCCACAGAACCACTCTTCCAGGTCATGAGTATAAAGAAGCTCAGGAGAGAATCCTGGTTCTCTCTCACAGGAGCTCACTCCTGAGCAGTACGTTGCTGCACCACCAATGCTTAACAATGAGTAACTGATGGTCACGCGAAGCCTCCTGGTGTACACTGGAGCACCAACAGTTCAGCTCTGGTTATCCTTAAAACATTTTCCATATAGTGAGGGGAATTCCGCAGGCACACGCCCGACACACAGAATGCCGACTTCACGTGGGCAGGAGGAGCGGAAGGAAGGCTTTCTGCAGAAGCCCAGATGAGTTTGTTCTGGCAGGGGGATGGCGGTGTGTTATTTTAGGGAGAGTTAGGGAAAAGGGCCAAGACGAGAAGGAACCAACGGGATAATCAGGGAAGCACCTCCAGAAAGAACATTCAAGGAATGACTATTAGCAGATGGGATGCTTAGAAAATTAAAAAAAATTTTTTTGTCTATAGTGTGAAGAAAAGATAAAAGGATGTAATAAAGTTTAAAGGAAACCTTCACCCGCCGAGACACTGAGCTGTCTCTGAAAACGGATTTCAGACTTTGTTTTGTCAACTTTTAGGTGTTAGTTATCGAGTACAGCGTGAGACTTCTGACAGACAGGGAGAAGTCAAGAATAAAATGCTAGGCTTAATCCAAGTGCCACGTGAGCAAAGCACACTGACTGATCTGGGCATCAAGCCCCAGTGGTCACCTCCTTGGTTGCATTGCAAAAGTTACACTTTTAGCCATACAAAAACCTTTAAAAAAATCAGCCTTGGTTTTAGCCACACAAAAATATTTATGTTTTAAAAAAAACATGCTCAGGGTGGCACCTGTGGCTCAAAAGGGTAGGGCTCTAGCCCCATATGCCGGAGGTGGTGGGTTCAAACCCAGCCCTGGCCAAAAAAAAAAAAAAAAAAAAACATGCTCAAACTGATACACGATCACAGGGAAAGATACAACCTAAGACCAAATTCTTTCTCTAAAAGAAAAAAACAGATACTTTTAAATACCTTATTGAGGACAGGTTTTGTTGACAGAACATCATACAGGGTTGCAAAGGAGATATTCTAAAACACAAAAATAGTTTTGTTCAGGAAATCAAATCAGAAGCCAGCAGCTTTATCCACACAAATAGGTCATTATAATCTAAGACATTCTTCAATCAGATTGTTTCCACTCCCCCTAAACAATCTTCCCGGGCTCACTGTTAGAAAAGGGGCACAGTTTTAATTTATTGCTTTTCATTCTCTCTTTCCTCCCCTTTCTAAATTCTTTTTTGTTATTCAACTTTACAGAGTGGAATTCAGCATCAGATTAACAAAGGGAAAATACAGCAAAATTTTGTTCTTTTTAAGTCAAACAAACAGAACAGAAACTCAGTGGAGATTGTGTAGAGACACTGAATAACGAAGTTTATAAATTCTTTGAAGGCCAAAGAAAAATGCCAAAACTGAGAGAATCTTTAATGGTGACAGTTTCTTTCTACATGTGACACTGTAAAGGTACCTCTTGAGTTATGCGGTTCAAACACATCTTTGCAGGCGTCCTGCGATCGTCAAGGAAGAAGGGACTTTTCCAACGGTCATAGTTAGTTTGTACCACATACCATCGACCATACTTAGGATCAAGGCTAGACACAAAAAGAGAGGTTCTCTGTTAGGTTACATAACCTTAAAATTGTGCCTATGTCAGTTTATGCTTTACTTTCTCATTTTGCTTTAACAAACATACTTACTCATATATATCCAGGGATTCTTTTCTGCCTCGTGTAATCACACAGCCCTCCCCAGACTGGTTGCCTCCCAGGATAAAGTACGCTGGGGCCAGTATCTTGGTCTTGGTCAATATGTTCTTTGCTTCTTCATAACTAGAAGAAATAGAGAAAGATTCAAATCCAGAAACATTTTATTTATTTATTTATTTATTTATTTTTTACTGAGACAGAGTCTCACTTTGTCACCCTCTGTAGAGTTCTGTGGCATCACAGCTCACAGCAACCTCAAACTCTTAGGCGCAAGCAATTCTCTTGTCTCAGCCTCCCAAGTAACTGGGACTACAGGCACCTGCCACAAAAATGAGCCCAGCTATTTTTTGTTGTTGTTGTTATTTGTTTGTTTAGCAGACCCAAGCTGGGTTTGAACCTACCAGCCCTGGTGCATGTGGCCAGCACCCTAACCACTTAGTTACGGGTGCCCCAAATAGAGAAAAATTTAAATTAAAAAAAAAAAAAAAAAAGAAATGAAACATTTTTAGTTGACTTGAAATGGAAATATTTAAAGCTCTTTGGAAACTACAGGCAAACAAGTATCTGAGGAACATTATCTTTTTAAAAGGGATGGTAAGCAACAGCTCTGGGGGGAACAACCCTGACTTCTGTGTGGTGAAACTAAGGTGGAAAGAGGAAATTCTGGAAGGTCCCTCAAATCTGCTGGAGAAACAAAATTGCCTTAAGAAGTCATCCTCTACCCCTTATTGTCTATGCCTTTCACTCAACAACAGGACAAAAGGAAATAATTATAATTATAGACTGCCATAATAAGATTTCTGTATCAGAGCAGAAAAATAACTTCTAAGTTAATATGCATTATCACTTAGATGGAGATTTTATTGTATAATTCTTCTCTGGTGCATGGGGGATTATTATTATTATTATTATTTTGAGACAGAGCCTTGAGCTGTCCCCCTGGGTAGAACGCTGTGGCATCACAGCTCACAGCAACCTCCAACTCCTGAGCTCAAGCGAGTCTCCTGCTTCAGCCTCCCAAGTAGTTGGGACTACAGGCGCCCAACACAATGCCTGGCTATTTTTTGGTTGCAGCCGTCATTGCTATTTGGCGGGACCAGGCTATATTCGAACCCACCAGCTCAGGTGTATATGGCTGGCGCCGAGCTAGGTGATTACTTTTGTACACCAAAAACATCCCTAGGGTACCCTTCTTAGTGTCAATATCCCTAGATATCCCTACTACTTTTTAAATAATTCATTTCCTCACCATAAAACACACAACAGATGTGGCCAGGCACGGTGGATCACACTTGTAATCCCAGCACTCTGGGAGGCTAAGGCTGGTAGACTGCCTGAGCTCACAAGTTCAAGACCAGTCTGAGACAGAGAGAGACCTTGTCTCTAAAAATAGCTGGGTGTTGTGGTGGGTGCCTATAGTCCCAGCTACTCGGGAGGTTGAGGCAAGAGAATCATTTGAGCCCAAGAGTTTGAGGTTGTGGATGGCGCCTGTGGCTCAGTGAGTAGGGCACAGGCCCCATGTATCAACGTTGGCGGGTTCAAACCCGGCCCAGGCCGAACTGCAACAAAAAAATAGCTGGATGTTGTGGTGGGCACCTGTGGTCCCAGCTACTTGGGAGGCTGAGGCAGGAGAATCACCTAAGCCCAGGAGTTGGATGTTGCTGTGAGCTATGATGCCATTGCACTCTACCGAGGGTGACAAATGAGAGACTGTCTCAAAGAAAAAAAACCAAGCAACACATGAACACCTGAGTAAATGAGCATTAAGGTTCACCCAAGATCTCAATGTTTGTCAAGTTGAGGCTTGGGACGTATTTTTATATTTCCAATGAGTAATTTAAAATAAAATATTTGATGATAAAGCAACCAACCACTTTACCTTGTACTGTTTTCCAGAACTGATCTAGTGATAAAGCCTATCCACATGGCATCTTTCTTTCCCAAAATCCACTCTAGGATGCCTGGAAGAGATCAAACAGCGTCAGGACCTGGAAGGGTTAGACTGCTCAAACACACTTAAACAGGAGGCACAGTCCAGTCCTCCTCCCAAGACAGCTGTAAGAACGCTCTACTCACCCAGATAACCGCCGTCCATATTGAAGCGTTCATTGAGTGTAAGACTAAATAGTCCCTGAGAAAGAGACAAAGCGGTGAAGTCAGAAACTTGGGCTTCCTCTGTAAGGCCCTATCACTATTCTGCATAGTGGAGCATAAAGGGCTGGGTAATGGGAAATGCAAAGATAAATCAAAACCATGTGTTAACAAGGCTCTTTTAAACGTTTAAGGCATTTGCACATCTAGGGTGTCAGATAAGCTGGTGGGATATTATTTAGACAGGAAACTAAGGAGTAGAGAATCGATGCCTGACTTGCCGAAGTGAACAGGACACCCAGGGCCAGATGCCAGACTCTGATCCTAGCCTTGGACACCTGGCCAGAGAACAGGCTCAGAAACCTTCGTTTCCTTTCTACTCTTCTCTACCATGAGATTTTACACCTAGGAAAGGGACGAGAATTACAAAGGGATGAACAGGGGCTTCCCCCGTAGTATTCTTTTTAGGTCCTCATTTTCTTAAGACTCCACCCTTTCTTTACAGATATGGAAAGGGGGACACACAGCTACCTGAAGAGTTACGTGACAACAGATTATTCCTTACTGGTTTGAATCCTGTTAACATGCCCACGTAGCCAGCAAAGCTTGAAGCCTTGAAGACGGTCTTATTGTTTCTCTGGAAGTCCAAATTCACTGTTAAAGGTTTTAGTTCCTCAGTTACGACCCAGGTATTATTATTTATGTTCCACCTAGAAAAGACAAATTTCAGTGACACTTAAAAACAATGATGATGAATACGATGACGAGAGTCAGGCATTATACTATGTGGTTTACAATATGGGTGGTTTTACGCCTTCCTTTCCAGATGATAAAACTGAGACTCAGAGAAGTTAAGAAGTTAAGCTCTCCCAATGTCACACAGCCTATGAACAGTAAGCCCCAGATTCAAATTCAGCTCTCTGATTACAAAGCTCTTCCTTTTTCACAGAAAGGTCAAGATGACAAATAAAACAGGATGCAGACGAGTGGCCTTCAAACATCTTCCAGCTTTTTGTTTACTAAGTGCAACTTCTCAGATACAAACTTTCAAATAATCAAGTCAAGTGTGCCCAGCTTGTCTTAACGTTTAGGAATCCATTTATCTTCACTTGCAGTCATGTTCTGGCCATAACTGGGGAATGGCTTTTCATCAGTGTCATACAATCTTCTCCTTCTATAGCATGACACGTAAGGTGTTCTTTACTCACCCAAGAAATACTCCAAAATCCATGTTTCTCCCATGTAGTAGATGACCTACGTGAAAGTAATCAGAAGAGACCCAGCACGGGAGTTAAAATAATATAACTAATGCTAAATCAAAAACCAACACTTTCATCTAACTGAAACCAACTGTTTCATCTAACAGTAAGAATTAAGAAGCATCCTGATATCCTAAGCCTTAATAAGACGAAACTGTTGTCACTGTCACATCCGCCAGATACTCCACAAAATATGAGAGTACAGGGGCTCTAGATAAGATTAGAATACAGGAAAAGGATCACTGGTCACTCTTTGGCCGATTATAACATGGTTCTGGCAAAGTTATCCAGCCTCAACTAATGTGACATACCAAATGTCTCCCTTCAGGCACTGTCACCTACAGCTGGACACCTCACGGGCTGGGGGCAGGCAGACTGTTTTACCCAGACTAGATCAAAACTCAGCGTGAGTCAGGGTAAGTGAACGTGTGCCTTGTTTGTACTCTGGGGACAAGCCAGGAAAAATATGGGACAGTGAGGCTGGTGTGCACAGGGTGCCTTAGCTGGGAAAAGATGGGAAAATGTTTGTTCTGGGCCTCAAGAAAAGCAAAGACATTGTTCCCTATGTGAAGACAATATCATTTCTCTTATGAGTATTTCTATCCAATAATGCAGATAGGAATAAATAGACTATAAGGAAAGTAACAATATTTCTATGCCTGAAACAGTCCTAGGTTTGGGGGGCACCTGAATTAAACTTCAATAGGTATTACAGTGGTCTTAAGGACAGTTTTCAATGTACTTAAGAAAATTCACCAAGGTACACGAGCTATATGTGATCTACACAGAATTCACCTAGCAAGTTCATATTTTTAAACGTTCTAATTCCACTTATTTAGCGTTTCCCTGATGCGGTGCCCAGAGCTGCCCACTGTCCCTCGGCACACACTTACCTTCTTTATCTTCTGTTATTATTGAAGTGCACATGGTAAAAAATTCATAAAAAATATTGAATGAAATAATCTCTCCTGTGAGAAAAGAAAGGACATTTTTTTGTTAATATATAGGACGACAGGCTCGGCGCCTATAGTTCAACTGGCTAAGGCGCCAGCCACGTACACCTAAGGTGGCGGGTTCGAATCCCCAGCCCGG